GTCCTGGCACCTTTTGGAGGGGAAGGAAAAAAAAGAGGTTTTTCCCATACATTTTTTTAAAAAGAAAAACCTTGAATTCCCTTTTTTTTTAAAAAAAAAAAAAAAAAAAAAAAAAAAAACCTGTTTAACCTACAGTTTAATTTGAAATAACTGTATTTGAAGAAATGTAGAAGGAAGAAAAATACAGAGAATAAAAATTTATTAATTCAAGAAATGTGTCAGAAGCTTATAAATTAGAAAGAGAGAACTTTAAAAAAAATATGTCAGACCTTCAGAAGAAAATAAAGAGAGTAGATTTTTCTTTATTAAAATAAAACATTACACTACATATTTATTAAAACATTAAGTCAACATTTCTATTTTTGTTTATTTTATTTTTTGTTAGTCTGGTGTACAATTCTAATCTGGTAAATGTCCAGTTTTCATTAGCATTATGCTGAAAATCATCACAGTTATCAAAAACAAAGGGCTGAAAACACCGTAATTATTGTATTTAATGTGCTTTACTTTGTGAATTATTCTCAGTAATGTTCTAAGTTACTAAACAGAACTCTAAATGTATTCATTTGGTTCCTATTTATTTATTTATTTTTTGCCAGTTTTGTAGAAACAAGACATATGCTTAATGTATCTTTGAGTTTAAATTTGCCTTCCTTCCCAACTTTGAGCCGGGCCATTGGCCCAGCGCAGTCCGCCTGTCAGTCAGCCGGCCGCAGATCCAGCATCCAGCTCTCAGAGGTGCCAGCAGCCGGAGCCAGGAGGCCCCGGCTCAGCCTGGTCTGGCTGCAGTGTCCTGTTGCACCGAGCTGTGAATGCGGGCATTGCTGCAGTAATTAACCTGTGGAGAGGCCAAGGAGCCGCCACAGAGCGGGCTCTGACACGCCTCAGAATAACTCCTTGTTCAAATTAGCATGATGAAGTGAAGGGACGGCCTGGAGGGGAGGGAGAGGAGAGGGCCCAGCTGGCTGTGGTCGGCCTGGATTTGTGTATGCGGGTGTGTGTGGGTGTGAGAACAAGGTTACATCAGTTCAAATTAGCGGTAAACCTTGACAGGCAGATTGACTTTCTGTGTTGACTGGAGAGTATTTATGCCGCTGAAGGAGGTTGTGTGAGATCGGATCAGAGTTGCTCCACTGAGGAGGTATTCTTCGCCACTTTCGTCAGGTTTTTTTTTTTAAACCTGAAATACAAACGATGAACAAATTCGACTAAAAACGCGACTGACAGCTCAGTTATGTACCAGCAGAACTGTTATTTGACCATGAAGTAATTTCTTAAAAGTGTTTCTAATAAAGATAATTTTTTTATGAACAAAAAAAAAAAGCATTACTAACATGCAAATGTATCTGGAAAATCTCTAGTTAGTCTAGCATAACCAATCATTCCAACTTGAATTCAAGACAACAAAGAAGAGGCAGAAACTCTTTCTGAGCTGCTCGTTGAAGCAAATCATGTTTTTAAATGTTGGACGCAAACACCCGGAACCTCCGGATCCTAATTCCTGGCTGTTTTTGGTGTAACCCAAACCAAAACCACCTTGGAGCTTTGGCAGGAAATCCCGAAAGTGGTTTAACTTCCAGTTAACTATGCGGACGCTGCTGCTAACGCAGGCTAATGATGGCACTGTTACATAACTTCAGAACAGCATCACGACTGAATGTAGCTCAAGGCTTCAAACACGTACAAGGACAGTGTGGCTGTGGAGGAAAGCGATGTGCTGTTGAACCGCTTATGTGGTCGATCGGATGAGGACAAAACAAAGTCGTCCATCTTGGACGATGAAAAGTTTAGAGCCCTTTTTTACCGTTTTTTGTTGTTGTTTTTTTTATGTGCAGTTTTCATTTTCAGCTGCAGATTCTTTCATTGCGTCGAACTCCAGCATGTTTGCCACATTTCCAAAATGTAGAAAGAACAAGGAGCAATCTAAGCCCTTTGCGTACTTATGAAATATGAAATCTTAAATGTAAATAAAAAGAGGGAGAGAGAGAGTGATGCGAAACAAAATGTACCATTTGTTATAATAGAGCACATCCCCTCATGTTATTACAACAGCTGCGTTGTCTCTCCCTCTGTCTGGATAAAATGAGCTGCAGTTTGTGCTCATCCACATTGTCATTTCAGCTAAAGAGTTTTTTTTTTTTTTCGAGGATCACAATAAATGCAGGCTGCAGCTGCGTCTGAGCGTGCTGCACTGAAATTCAGCTGTTTTCTCAGCGGTGCAGCGGGTTTAAAGCAGATTGCTGTGTTCTGGTGGACTCGGTGTTTGGTGGGTTAAGTGGTCAGAGAAGCCCGTGTGTGCGTGCATGTGTGTGTGTGCGTGTGTGTGTGTTCAAACATTAAGTCTGCCTCTGCGAACAGACGTCCCTCTGTAGACACAATTGGCCCCCGAGGGCCCGAGATGTCCCAGGAGACCTCTGGCTGCACCTTCCCGACTCCGGTGGTTTAACAGCGCAGAGAAGCGCAGGGAGCTTGTTTTTAATTGTAGAAGAAGTTCAAAATAATCTTTTTTTTTTTCATTATTTAATTTTGATTTTGTTTCAGAACAATCTGATTTATCAGTGCGAACCCTTCTAAGTAGATCTTTGTGAGTATTACACCCCGAAACGTGCAGAATAAAGAATTTTGGGAAAAACTCCGAAGCTTTTTCTGACTTTTGGGAAAACATTCGGCAGACTGACAGGATATAAGTGGAGCTCTTCGAAACAAGTTTGTCCTGTGACATCTGTGCTTTAAAAGTCTGATGTCATTCCTTTCATTTCATGATTTTATCTGACATTTTTCACTGTGGGAAGATTTTAATTTGACTACAATGGCTCTTAAACATGAAGCGTAGCGCTCCCAACTGTGGACTGCATACGTTGCTAAAATGAAATGCATGTAATTATTGGCTAAAATGGAAATAAATTGCTAAAAATAGCAGTTGTTTTCTTTTAATATGAGGCGGATTATTAGTGCGGCCGCTTGACGTGATCCTGCACAGCGACTGATCATTTTCTTCCCGTTTTCTCCGCAGAGCCTGGGAACACCTGGCCGATACGACAGCAGGAAAAAGTGAGTCTCATCTCCGTTCCTATTTCTGACTCCGTTAGCATCTCATTTCTGCTCGGTTTTTCATTTTCCCGTTTAAAAAAAAAAAAAGTAAACCTTCCCGAAGCCCTGAAGTAATATGTCCTGATTTAATAAAGCAGGACTGATCACCTCGGCTGTATTTTTTTTTCTTCTTTTTTGAGAGAGTAACCCACAAACAAGATTATTTCACTGTCGTTATTGCCTCCCATTTTCACTGCCTGAAACCAGAGAGCAGGTATTTCAACCTAAATTTATCAAACCTTCACTTTATTTTGAGAAAGTGTTTCAAAGTTTCACTCAAATCCGCAGGTGATTCATCCATCTGTCTTCATAAAATACCCTTCACTGCTCTCTTTAAACTCTACTACTACATCTTCCTCTCTCGTCTATTGCCTGTTATGAACCTGCTAGAAAAAGACTTTGCTGTTACTTCATCATGCTGAAAGAAGCAATCCATATTCTCCAAATGAAATGCAAAAGTGTTAGTAGATAAATGAACTGGAACATGGGAAGTATCCAGGAGAGGAAGTTGTGAAACCTGTTGCCATGTCTTGTAATTACTGGAGAAAAGCAGGAAGGGACTCCCCTTCAACTCTGTTGTTTTGCACATCCTTGTAAAGCCCAATAATACAAAGTAAAAATAAAAATCGTCAATCTAATATACCTGAATCAATGTGGAATGTGTTTGACAGAACCACATTTCTGACAAATATGTGCCTATCTACTTCAATCTCCATCTCTACAAAGTTAAATGACTGTCAGTCTTACAGTATTAGGCTTATTAGGACATTGACTATGGATATTAAGGATTATTTTTGGTCACCTTATTCATTTCGGACATATTTCCCACTTTGCACATGGGTTTCGGAGCGGGACCACTGCTATCGCGCAGGATGAGACGCAAGCATACTAAAAATCACAACAGTGCCATCTGCTGGAGACGTTGAAAACCTACACAAAGTAGATAAAACGGGGGAAAGCAGCTACTTCGTTTTAGAAGTAATAAGTTCATTATGTTATAATTTTAGAACTCGGTAGGAGCCACACATGGTTTATCTGTCTGGATTAAAAAAAAAAAAAAAAAAAAAAAAAAAAAACACGGTGTCTTCAAACAAA